GCCCTAAGCTCATGCTGCTTGGGTGCCACATGCTGCCATTGACGTGGTGTGCCAAAAAGGAACTGGTGGATTGGTTATTGCTCCCAGCCTTGAACTCTTCTTAACCAGAGTTTGCCTGAGAACAGAAAACGCAGCTGCAGTTATCTGATCCAGTCAGGGAGCTGACTAAGTGCTTGTAAAAGGGTTCTGGATAGAGAAGACAATGAGAATTTTAAGTATTTTTACAATAAAATATGACCGCTTTGGGCTCCAGGAACTTGAAAGCTTTGTCATAGTCCTGATAATGGATGCTGAATATAATAAATATTCTAAAATCACTGGCAGAATCAGTTTAGGAGACAAGAAAGGTGCTGGCTAACATTCAGAAGTAAACACTAATACAGGCTAGTCAGTCCTAAATGCACCATATGATCCACAGACAACAACTAGATGTCCCAAGGATAAATTGCATTTGATCCAGCTAACCTTGCAAGCTGAAGACTAAAGCTCAGTTTGAATATGTGTGCAGGAAGGCAGAAGTATGTCAACTGTATTATATGTGATGATGAAAAATTGCTCTTTCAAAATTGAAACAAGACTTTATTCACCACTACTTTTTATTTTGTGAGGCAATGCATGTATATGTGTTCCAGAAAGCTAAAGACTTGAAAGTTTAGTCAGCTATGTAAAATATCTAAAATACTGATCCTAAAGATTTTCAGTGCTCATTTTCTGCAGCAAAGCTACAGAAAAAAGAAGTGAAACCAGAAGAAGGGGGAAAAAAAACAGAAAGTACTTCAAAGCCATAGGAGTAATATGTATAGTGAAAAGGACAGAGGTATGATAAGGAAAAAAAATGGCTTAAGATGTGAAGAAATAGTCAGTACCTCAGACTTTCCACAGTATTATACATATCTTGAAAGGCAGTGGGAGAAAAGAGGAGACATGAGCTAAAAACGGAGAACAGAACAAAATACATAGAGAAAGAGAATAGCTAGATCAGATTCAGATACTTCTCCTTGTTGATGGCACTGCTTTTAGTTGCAGAACACCACAAAATAGTCTTTGTTGGGTCCTTTTGTGGAGTAAAGTACTAGCTTTTATGAGGATCTGGCACAGAGTGAGCACGTAATGGAGTATTCTAAGTTATAGGAAACCCTGGAAATGAAAACTACTTTTTTTCCTTGTGAACAGTCATGTGGCATAAGGGCTTGTTGCCTTGCATGAAAGCTGTGCGTGACATGAAATGCTAAAGGCTGCAACACTGCAGTGCTGGCAAAGGCAAAGTGTACGCTCCAGTTCCACTAAGTGTCTTTCTTATCTGTTTTCTGTGGACTGCCATGGCCTATTGGCTTCAGCAGATCCCCACTCCCAGCGATGTTACAGAAGTTTTATCTCATAGTACGATCACAGTCTTACATTTACATTTTTGTTACAGTAATGCCGAGCTATAAAACACAACTTTCTGTTTTTTAAGCTTCTTAAAGGTGCCATGAAGTATGCTGACATTGAAAAGAAAATCTCTTGCTCTCAAAGCACATCACTATTTAGTTTTCATCTCTAGTAGCTATAAAACCATGTAATTTATCAACATCAAATAATAATACAGTTAGTACAAAAAAAGAAAGTATGAAATCATTTATGTTATACCAAATGAAATCAATCTTGGTGAGTTTTCACAGAAATATGTGAGAAGAAATGTTCTTCTACTGCTTCTTCTAGTCTCTACTCCTACGTAATGTCAGGATTGATTTCATTATTGTTAAATCATATCCCATAACTTGATGTATAGTCTCCATGAATATCTCTGTGAAGGTGATTTAACAACTTGTCTTGGTAGCTTGTCCCATTGCTTCACCAATCATACAGTTCTCTCCAATATTTTGCATATTTTCCCTGTTGCTGCTTCATTTTTGATAATTATTCAGTGTCCTTCAAATAACCAGACCAATGACATTGATATCTAGTTACAGATACTTAAGTTTCTATTCAGATTATTTTTTCTAGACGGTGCATACCTAGTTTTCAGAACTAACTTTCCACTAATCTTACTTTGCAAACCTTTTGCCATTCTGACTTCTGTTTTCATTATTGTTTAAAAGATTAAATTTAAAAATGACTAGCATCCTGACACACATGCTGTTCCTGCTACGGATAGGGTGCTCCTGAGCTGCAGGTCAGAAATTAAAAATTCAAGTTTACTTGAAAAACTCATAAAGGAATAACGAGAATTTTGGCAGAAAGCAAGCAATAAACTTTTTCAGAGTAACAGTGATCTCAGCTTCTCTTTCAGTTTAATCCATAACAGCCTGCAGGTTCATACATACTCCCTTAGGTTCTTCAGTAGTCTCTTGCTCCCCAAAAATAATCATTACATAGCCAATTAAGTTATGGAAACAGCATTTCATAAACTCTCTGCTTTGGCGACCAAATTCTAAGTGTTCCTGCACGTGTGTTTGAAATGAATGAGATAATTAGATGCTTCAAGTTACGCACATATAGATGTTTGCAGGGTCAGTAGTAGCTTTCTGGTGCTCTGAAATGTGGAAGCTGCTTTTCCTAAACTACATAAGAAGTATTTTTAGCGTCTGCATAGTCAAAATCTGTCACTTCTTTGTATTTAAGTACAACAGTTGAACTTTAATTTGAAATATGTTGGTAGAACAAGATACAGTCTGATTTTCAAGAACCACAGATAACTAGACACCAAAGATACCAAAAGGAGAACACTTCTGTTTGTGCCCTTTCATAGTGGTTCCATGAGCAAATTAGACAATCCTAAGAATTGCATTCCTTAATATTATCAGTCATTTTATTGAGGGAGCATATGCCATCTCACATCATTGCTGTATGAAAGGGATTATAATAGTAAGAATGACCATTTCTGAAAAGGAAAAGAGCACTAGAGAGGTTAAAGCAGAGTTTTTAAAAAATGTTCCTTGGCTTCAGGTTTTTCACTTTTCCGAATCTTTACTTGTAGGGGGCATGGAGTATAATTTTAGAGGTACCCAGCAATCACAGACTATATTAACTTTAGGTGGTATCCTGTAATATTAACAATTCTAAAGATTAGGCTGAAAGTGGAGAGATGACACAGTTGAAAATGTGATCATAAAATAACTCAGCCACGTTTCCATGCAAGTCTGTTACAAAGCTATGTACAGAATTCCCAATTTCTAGTTCTGTGCTTTTAACTATAGCACTCTTCAAAACCTGTTTATCTACACCACTGCTCTAATATATTGTCCCTTAATTCAAGCAGTTAATAAAAAGTAGTAATGATGCAGTCTGATTGCAGTTTTGTGCAAGTAACACAATCTAAGAATTACATAGACTACACTAAAAAAGTGTAGAGTAGGAATAAAATAGTTGTTTACATAAATGAGAAAGATACTACAAAAAATGGAAATTGTTTCAGAAACCTAAATCTAAAGCTCAAAAATACAGCAACTTAATTGTGAAATGCAGATCTGCTTCTTGGGCAAAGTATCCATAGGCAAGAGAATTAGAAAAATAGTGTTATTTTTCATAAGTAGCTGTGTAAGTTATTAATCAGTTGCTCTATCCAATCAAATGTAAAAGTTTACAGACTATGAATATTTTTTCTTCTGATGTTAAGCATCACATGTGCTGGTATATTTATTCAGAAGCAAGCAAGTAGTGAAATAACAGAGCAAAACTTGTGAGATAATAAAAACAACCCAGTTGCCGAGGCTTTTGAACATGCTCTCAGCAGTTACTCAGAAAAATTACCTGAAGGTATAAATAGCATTCACCATCTTGGACTTAAGCTGTTTTGGCTTAGAAATCAAGAATAAATTGCTGATCTTGAGCTAGAATA